TTTACCAATATGTCACCGCTTCCTTCTTGTGTTTATTTGTTTTACCAATATGTCATCGCTTCCTTCTTGTGTTTATTTGTTTTACTAATATGTCATCGCTTCCTTCTTGTGTTTATTTGTTTTTTGGTAGACGTGTTAGACTTGCTGGTTTCATATCAAAACACGTGTTGAGCAAACTTGCTATGTTTAAAACATACTTGTTTCTGGATTATGTCTCTATTGGTTTTCGAATTTCCAACAAATGCTGAAACCCTTGGGCTTAAATGAAGGTCCTACTTGAAAGCATGTGAACTTATATATATATGTGGTGTGTGTGTGTGCACAATAAGGGCTGTTCTGTTTCGTTTTGATTAGATGTTAATTATGCAGGGAATTTTACAAACAAAATCACAAAATCGTGCTACTCGTTAACTATTTTTTTTTAAGTAAGGTGTTTCAACTGCTTATATTTTTTCAAAGGGAAATGAAAAATCGGGTGATTAAACCGCAATTACAAGTATTTTCAGAGAATATATTGTTACGCATACAGACTTTTTAAAAAGGGTTTAGAAATTCGAGAAATATCAATATCACAAGGCGGCACAAAACTAATTACGGAACACGTTTAAGTATATTTATTCAACGATCCTACAGTGAACCAATGGTGTACGAAGAAGAGATTATGTCTCATATTGTTATTTGTCAGAGAACGATATGAGACATGATCTCTTTAGTTGTAGGATAAACTTAAATTTACCTTACGAAACAACACACAAACTATATATATAATAAACTTGATTGATAACAATATAATCCTCAGGTTGGCGACTTGTTTCTATACGTTGTGTTCATATATTGAGTAATTTTTCGTTTTGATACTCAGTAAATTTATTGGGTGGTATCACCCACCTTATGTGTAAAATACATAGGATACTGTAACAGGAATTAGTGACACCAATAACAAAATTTATGGTATTTTTGGCTTATATTTCTCTTGCGACTTATATATATTATTAGATACCTTGTAACCAACACTCGTGGACCCTCAACAAATATGGTGCATTAAAAGGTCAGAAAAATGGAATGTTTCTCATCGCTAATTTTGGGATTAGAAAAAAAAATCAGATTTAGAATGGTATAAAAACTCGCTGTTGATGATGGTAGCGGAAGCTACCGAAACATGTAGAGGGTTGTATCCTACGTGGAGATTTGGTATGATAATTGTGTTTGATTTTTAATGTTTATCAGTTTAGCTCATCATATTTTTATTGTGTTTAGTAACATTTTTATTTTTCTTTGTTATTACTAATTTTCTGTGTACTTTAACTAATTAACCTTAACTATTTTTTGTTTCAATCCAGATGTGGACCGTCATTTTCATGAGATGTCTTCAATCAATGACATATTTTTGTTTATACCCCCTCTATGAGGGTGGATTAATAAAGAAAAAAAAACCGTAACATGTAAAGTCGTTTTTAATGTAATGTAATGTTGTTTTGTCTATATAATTAAATAACATTTAAATATAGTCTATCTGATGTAAATGACCTAATTCGGTTAAGAACAATTTCAAAAAAGTATCTAGATTTGTTTGTATTAATCTAATTAATAAGCAAAAGAAAACTTTACTGGATGATTTTGATATTTTATGATTTTATACTTTTACACTTAGACCGTTTATAACTGAAAATTAATTTAAAAAGTCAATTTCCATTGTTTTCTTTCTTTCTTTCTTTTTACAATCCTGCATTTTGATCTTCAGGTATCTTTTGATCAGATGAGAAATTTTATTATTGAAAGTACTATCCTTTTATAAGCCATGTAGCAAAAAAAAAGAAAAAATAATTAATATTATAATTCCTGTTCTCTGAATAACCTAGACGATAAAAGAGGTTTTCCTTATAATTGTACTCCATACACAATTAAAAATGAATAATTATGTAAAACTTTATTTTATAATTCAAAAAATATGTGATTAATACTAATTATACAGTTTGATTATCAAGTGGCTTGTTTTAAACTTTTCGAGTAGTCTTTCGCGCTTTTCCATCGGTTTACAGAATTGTTGTCCATTATCGTCAATAGATGGCGATATAAGCTGTAATATTTTGTTAAATAATTAAAAAAAAAAGTCATAATCATATCCCTTACGTCACGTAGTGAATCTCTATCAACACTTTTCATGTCATGGGCCAGGGGTGGCCTCAGTGTGGCGGAATTCCAACTTTTACACTGCTGAACATGTTTTGCACTTTCAGCAGTGAGCGTGCTATAAGAGTAACAATCAATCCTGTTATTCGGTGTCGTTCAGAATGAAAATACCACGTTACAACGAAAAATTCTCAACATCAATTTGTTTCTAGAATACTAAAAAGTGTGGTAACACTTAAGTATTATTTTGAAAATGTAGTAAGAAAATAACATTGACTGAGATACGGTGTTAATACTGGACGATAAAGTTCACAGATAGCGCCCTCGATTAAATGGCATTTCTAAGATTTCTCAGTGTGGGAGAAAGGCAAAGAGTTAGTTGGGAGAGAAAAAGTTAACATTTTCATATCGGTGGGAATCGCTATGTAGAGAATTTGAAAATCTTAAAGGACAATATTTCAGATGTAGAAGGGGGGGACATGCCCCCCTCTACCTGGACGTATAAAAAAAGTATGATTTTTCCAGAAAGCTCGCGTTTAAGTGGAACCAGATATGTATATATAAAGCACAAAAACGTCCAAACACACAAAAACACATGGAAATGTTCAGATAGTGAAATTATACGTATCTTAAAAAATAAACGTGAACCAATTTGTATCTTTTAACTAGTGTATGCGTGTGATCTGTTAGTTCGTTTGTCTTAGAGATTATCTACATTCTATTGTGTCCAACGGGAAATCTACGCCTGGATTTTAGCGTTGTAAGCCCATGGAATTACCGTTGTCTCACAGTGGAACATGAGGGTGGGAAACAAATAAATATTTTATCTAAAAAAATGTTCGAAATTGGAAACACGTAGAATGTCATTGATAGATTTTGTTTCCTGTACGCGAGCTGTGAAGACGTAGATATTTGTGAAAACGAGGCTGATGATGTGTTATAGTACTTACGTAGATATTTGTGAAAACGAGGCTAATTATGTGTTACAGTACTTACGTAGATATTTGTGAAAACGAGGCTGATGATGTGTTATAGTACTTACGTAGATATTTGTGAAAACGAGGCTAATGATGTGTTATAGTACTTACGTAGATATTTGTGAAAACGAGGATAATTATGCGTTATAGTACTTACGTAGATATTTGTGAAAACGAGGCTAATGATGTGTTATAGTACTTACGTAGATATTTGTGAAAACGAGGCTAATGATGTGTTATAGTACTTACGTAGATATTTGTGAAAACGAGGCTGATGATGTGTTATAGTACTTACGTAGATATTTGTGAAAACGAGGCTAATGATGTGTTATAGTACTTTTGTGACTTACTTCTACCGAAATCTTTCCGATAAACCAAACTCAAAAACTTGAACATTAACAAACAAAAACAAAAAAAATTTATTTGTAAACTTCGTGCTGCATTTATGTGCAAAAAGCTACGTCCAAATGCCTACACAGCGCTTAGTGAAGGGCGTTACTGTATGCAAGAAGCTTGAGCTCAAAGAATAACAACATTATTTACATATGCGCAAATATACACAACATGTGATATATATATATATATATATATTTACATACAAACATTCGATACCCTTTCATTAAGTACGAAGGTCCTAAATACTGTTCAACCCTGTATTCATTACTATGTTTAGTGATTAGTGGCGGAAGCGTGATAAGTGAGAAAAAAATAAACCTTGTAGTACGTTCTTAACACCGATAAGGAACTTTCCAGACACAAAGTTTACTATTCATTGCACTTGTTAAAAAACAATAACAACAAAAGAATTATAACTTTACCTTCCTTATTAGTACAATGAAAGTTTAGAAAAATAAAGATTCCTAGTAGGGGGGGGGTATCATCGGACCTAGATTTCGTCATATTGGAATTTAAAATAGAGAATACTTTAGAAGTTTTAAACACTAACCATATTATGATCGTTTCTACCAAAATCTTCTTATCCAAGTGGCATTAATCAAAATTAAAAAGTGAGTTAAATATATTTACGTCCACAATCACCTAATTCCTAGTAATTTTTCCTTGCTATTTTTATTCTTTAATAGATTTAGTTTAAAGATTCCTATACAGACAACAGTCCGCAAACTATAACTTGCTGTCTTAACTTAGTACACCGGCTAAGCTCTGTACATTATCCGCACAATACACAGCTCTGAGTGATACAAACATTATCAAAGCTCACTAAAAATTCGAATAATTAAATTTTAAGAATTCTAAATACCAAATATCCGATGACTATAAGTTAATGAAAATTTGCTGAAAGCATGGTGAAAATTACTCCTATTGGTATCTTTAGGTAACTAAAATTTGTAATAAAAAAATGGAATAAATTTTTTCTAAGATTCCGAAACTGCGATTAACTACTTTTAACAGACTTAATCTTTTAAACAATATAGTGTGCAAGAGAAACAATTACTTTTTTTTCTTAGGGTTATAAATAAGATGATTTAAAAAATTATAATAATTTCATCACTATTCTACAACACATACATATAAATTATTCAAGCATGGAGACTACTACATGGTAATGAACGTAAGATTAAATCTAGCACTGAAAGTGTCATCTACAACTGTAAAATACCCACGTTGAAAAATACTTTACGTACCACCAGATGTTTAAACATTGTGGAAGATTTATAACCTCAACAATCATTTTTTTTTTCAGACTGAAAGTCCACACTTAAACGCAGGAGAAAATAATCTCACCAAAGTTATCGTTGTTGTTTTGAAATAATATCAAAAATACATTTTAACTGCACTTGATTGTCATCTTTGTTCAACTAAGTAATAAACAACAATGAAAAAAAAAATCACTATTGTGGTCTATGACGTCAGACATACAACTGGATGAAAATAGTATAAATACGCGTTATGACACTATATTTCGATTCACCTACACTTCGAAGGTTGGAAGAAAATGGCCATCGGTTATGACGTGACACTCGTGATTGTGACGTCACAACAATTGTGATTTTGATGACTCTAGCAAAATCTGGAGGTCAAGAATAAAATTTAAAAAAAAGCTCAAATCCTCAAGTAGATAAGTGCAGTGGCGACAGTTATACAATACAATGCCACCAATAATTCATACCATCCATGTGAATAATACTGTGAGGCATTTTCACCATCACCAATGGAACTAAAATATTAGTTACGTTGGATATAATATGGTGCGTTATCCATAGAGTCCCGCAGTGATGAGTCTGAACCCTGTTAACAACTTGTAAAAACTTAGGCCTCACACGAGTGTTGAGAGTTCCATACTATGAGCCGTGACATCTGGCCCTATTAGTCCAGACTCGCGGAGTTGACTAAGTCTACTTTCCACCCTCTCCCTGCTTTCTTGGGTCTTCTCCCATTGCCACAAGTAAACGTTCTGTACAGATACCGCCCCACAGAACACGATTCCAAGGCCTATAACTATGCTTGTAACTATGGCTGGAACCTCGTGAAAATGAATAAACGTGAACAAGATAACACCTGCAAAAATAATAACAATAGGCGGTTAATGTACTTTTCAAGTTTTATCACTTTTTTATGAATAAAGTCACAAATTATACAACATTTTGTTTCCTAAATATGTTGCCCTCTTTATGTCTAGAATAACCGAGTTTCAATCCAGGGTTGAGTGTTTGTTTTTTGTATGAAGATGAGCTCTAGCCCGACTGAGAATTACTGTAAATTGAGTAAGAGATCTATGTCACAGGAACACGCCCACTAATAAAAAAAAATACAACAAACTGAGAGATAATGCTAAGAAATTCTAATAAAAACAGTAAAAACTCAAAGTTCCAATATAAAGTTTTAGCTAGTTGAATAGGTCATTAACTTAACTACTAAAGTTAAAAAAAGTCGCTCTGCTAACCTAAACTTCACAGTGTTAAGATTATTTACAAACAGAAATAACATATGTAAATTCCAAGTTTTTCTTCCTTTTTTAAGACAAAATAGTAGTCAGATGAATAACATTAAACTGTGATATGTCTCATGATGACCATCCAGATGAGACAATACAGGAGATATATAAAAGTAAAGTTTCTTACTGAAACATAATCTGATCTTGTCTAGCTTTTTTTTTTGTCTGGTTTTGTTTGTTGTTAAGCACAAAGCTACCCAATGGACTAGTTATGCTCTGCCCATCACTGGTACAGTGGCATAACCAAGGGGGACCAGGCCCCCTGAAAAATCTAGGCATATTGATCACATATTATTTTCAGCTTCTATGTCTAATAAACTTGTTTCGTATCATTTGATAAAGAAAATAAAACTTCTATAAACACTATTACATTGATTTGTTTAATGACCATTTTATTAAAAATTTAGATCAATTTCAGCTTTTTAATTTTTGCCCCCCCCCCCCCGAGTGGAAAACGTGGCTACGCCACTGCACTGGTATCGAAATCTTATTTTTCGCATTTTAAACCTGCAGTCTCACCACTGAGCAACTGAAGAGCTCTTGTCTAATATAAGATATACATTTTATTAACAATTTCTTAAAAATTATGCTTAATCAATTAACTTACCAGTGAAAAATATGGGTATGGACAAGAAAAACCCGCCAATTGCAATTACCCTCGTGCAAGAACTTCTCTTCAAAAATTTGTTGGTCCTGAAATAATAAAATTAATATAAATACATAAATATATATATTAGGTCGCTAAGAAATTAATGTCGCTTATTTTTAGACGAAAAAACCCGAACAACTTATATATCAAAACAAAACATTGTTAAATGAAATAGTTTCCATTCTTATCAGTGATGCTTTCCATCTTACAATCA